TATCCGTTCAAAACCCGTCAAAATTGACAGACAAACTGACAAGTAAAGTCAGACCGATTATTCGTCCAAAATTAAAACCGTTACGTTTTCATATTAAGACAGATTATCCGTTTGACGCGAATTATTCAATGGATAACCCGTCTGAAACGGATGATCCCGTCTCTAATGTGAGAACCGCCAGATGCCTTTTGTATTGATTACCATAGTAACGATTATGCACTATTACCAACTTTAGTGTAATTACTACATGCACTACTAAGTGATATTTTAAAAAGTAATACAGTACGAAATGTAAAAGTACTGATACTAAGTGAAAGTAGATTATGATTTGTACTAAGATAAAGATTCTTGTTCAGTCAATAAAGGACATTAGGTAGAAAGCAATGGAACTCTGAGTATCTCCTTGTTTCATGACTTCACCACAATGATGGTGAACAGGTGTTAATTATATATTCTTCAAACCAGCCAGTTACAGCCGCTATATAATCACCGAGAAGGAACCCCTGGAGATGATTCGTGTGTCGTGGCTTTATTTTGTATGCGCTAATTTTATCATCCAATCGAAAGCAGTGCATTTATGGGCTATGCCTATGATCAAAAATTTTATCTACAGGGTTTCCAAACTGCATCATTTTTTATTGTTAACTTAGAATCTTGAAAACCCTTCGCAGTCATAACAGTTATCATATCCCTGGTAATCCAATAAGCGCATAAAACGTAGAAGTTAAGGTGGCGCGCACCGAATTCGTCAGGGTGGTATTTTTAATCTGTGTTGGACACAATTTTCTACGATGGATATTCCCATGGCAAAAGCGTTTTTGACCACTTTATGCGACTTGATAAACAATACTTTCGTGAGAATTATTTGAAGGTGCTACGCTGCAGGTAGTGGGCACTACTTGCAATTAATCAATTAAATAAATAAAGAAAAGCACACCTTTGGGGGAAAACAACTGTATCCCGAGTGCGAGTGTTATATTTGAACCTACAGACAACCAACATAAGTATTGAAAGGCATTTAGACTTAACAGCATTGTTGGCGGGGGAGTTTTGAGGGGGAATAGGTGATTCCTTCAACAACATAACCAAGTCTTTCTGTTCAGCTCGAACTAAGTTTTCACAGCGACCATCTGGATGGTACTCTCAAATAACCGTTGCTGCACCTCTCGTTTTAATAGTTGCCAATAAACCCATCTGTTTAACCCAAATTGATGCTTACGCATGTCTGATTTTCGAACATGAATCGGTAATTTCCTCTTTCATATTTTTCTTTCACTTTTATTTGCCCAGATTTTCAAGTATCCTTTCTTCCACCTTTCAATTCGTTTATGGGGTGAATCTTGTAACTTTGTCTCCAAGACCGGCTACAATAATTGCTTTCGAATGCAATTTTCTGATGTACGACACCACTTTTGTTTGTAAGTCAAATTCATTTTCTATTTTCAATTGTTGTACTTGGGTTATGGTAGAACTTCTGAGAAAACCCAGTCTCTGAAAACTTCAGCTTGTTTAAACTTGTAATTGAAAATTAATTGGTATGATCCAGGTTCACTCATAAGAATTGTATATGTTGCTGTGTAATTTTAAGGAGGTGGCGATTCACCACCTCTATTTTTTTGGTATTCTTTTTTTATATTTCTCACTCACATGATCGATGATGGCAGATTTATATTTTCTTATTATCACTATAAGAAGTCATTTCGATTTCTAAATCATTGCAGAAAAATTTCTGTGCCATTGCTCAGTATAATTTTTGAAGGCTTGGCGCTTTCTAGCGGACCTCTTAGGAAACAGAAATTTACTTCAATTGGTTCAAAAGGTCATTGGTGGATTTGGATTCGTTTTGTGTGTGTTCGTTGCTTTTGAACTAGCCTGCGAGCAAGCTCTCCGGGGCGCTCTGGCGGCGGGGCGGGAAAAGGAAGGAGAGCTTGCAACTAGGTCTCTGGAATTTGAATATCTGCATCGAAAAAGTCGATGCGAAATGCTGATTGGCGGAGATGACATTAGTAATGACGTCATTACCCTTAAACGTGTTTTTCGATGTTTGTTTACGTTCGAACTCGTTTCCCCTTCACGCTGATTTGCGGAAATCTGACAGCTCAGTCGACGGAGAGCCACAGGGAAATTGGAGTTGGAATTCTAATTGCACAGACGTAGTTACAATAGCCTAGATACAAATATCCGAATATTTTTTTTAGATATTGAGAAGATTTTGAGATATTTAGAAAAAAGTCGGGAATTTCCGGAAACATATTTAGGCGATTTTTCGTGGTATTTGTATCTAGGCCTAAGTTGCAAGGTCTCCTTTCTTTTCGCTCCCCGCTACCAGAGCACCCTGGAGAGCTTGCTCACAGGCTACTTTTTAACTTCAGAGTTTGCGTGTTTCTGAAAAACGCAGTAAGTTTTCCCTCTCTGTGCCTTTTCGATCAGAAGGATTTGTGCTTTGATGTTCTGTAAAATCACAATAATCAGATTGAAACCGATGTGCCCTAATTTGGCCGCATTTATGAAAAAAATAGTATATCCTTTTTTAATACCAAAAATATCATTCATGTTATTGCAACACTTTTTGTTTTAACCTTTGTTTTACTTCTTTAATTCAAAATCATTCCACAAAAATCACAATTTCCATGTCCAAATGATTTCAATGCGTGATGATCAATTTCTCTACAAATAGTAACTATATATTATTATTATTATTGAGATCGAAGATATTTTTCAAGTGCGTTTACTCTAAAATAACACACTGGTTGAGATTTGTTTTAAAAAGAGGTCGAATTTGAAATAAACTTAAAACTTAAATTGACATATGCCTTACAATGGTTTCTTGGGGCTTGGTCGCTTCGCTTCCCTCGCCACAAAATTATACAATTAAATTGGAAATTAAATTTGGCAATTAGAAAATAGCTAGTCGTCGCCCTCGCATGCTCGCTTCGCTCACGCCGTTCTACTCCACAGTCAGTCGTCACTTCGTTCCTTCTTCATGCAAGTAGGAACAAACTTAATGAAAAAATATTTACAACTCGCTTATTAAAAATTAAATTGGCAATGAAAACAGGAAGCAATGACTCGTACTTGTCATATTTCGTACTTCGTACTCAACGACAAGTACCTACCCTTGTTTACCTGTTTCCATTTTCAAATTGAAAATGAAATTGAGAAATCGATTGTCAATGAAATTTTCAATTTGATTGACAGGGTAGGAAAGGGAATGGGAGATACGAGCGCATATAAATCGAGCTCAGCTCGAATTATGCGCTGGTACCCCCCATGATTTCCTATACTACTTGTTTGGACCCCTACTCACTCGATTTTTAGTACCTTTGAGACTGTTGGGGGAGGGAGTATAGTAAGTAATGGAAAATTAAGGGGCTACCTTTGTTTACTCATTTTTGTTTACTTCTGAAAAATGATTAGTAAAAGTTCAGTTTTCGTGTCAGACATTTCAATAAGATACATTAGGGGGCGATGATAGTAATTTATACTATCCATAAATGCTAAAATTTTGTCGGCTAATTGGTTCTCAGCGCTTAACTCTAGGCTTGTTTATAGAGAAATATTCTTTACACCATGCACGGAAATGAGTTTAGCAGAAGATATAATAAAGGCAATTTGGCATTGCTGTTCATTGTTTTATTTCATGAAAACCGATGTTCCCATAACGCTGCTTGGTAGTTCACTGTTTACGAATAATTCGTTGGAAGTTGCCACAACGCTTCAGTGAAAGCAACAAAGTCATTTTTTGAAGTACTTAAGCGCGAAGGTAAATACATAGGTTGATTTTCAAGAGGGAAGGATGTGCAATATATATATTTGCCTTATTGACCAAGCTTGAGGTCAAGATGGTTGGATATTGGCCAAGTTCTTCTTTGTGCTTTTTTTGACCGAGACCAAGTCGAAGTCGTTAATAAAAACGCAAAAAAAGAACGAGGCCACTATCAAGCCATTTTGACGGAAAAAGCTTGGTCAATGAAGGATTTATTATATCTCCAAAAAGATAAATTTTTCTCAAAAACGGGCAAGATGGGCCCATCTTAAGTTGCCATTTAGAACACAGGTGCCCACTCGAGAATTCAGCCGTATAATAAACGTAAATATAGTTGGCCTTGGTGTTGCAAGCGATAGTTTTGACTGTTTGTCGCCTGAAAGTTTGCTTATCACGCAAAGCTGTAATTTTCTATATATATATATTTTTTTCATGCACTTGCAGATTCCAATAATTCTGACTTGAATTTCGTTAATCGTTTGATAGCCTCCAGAGAAACTAGACGAAGAAGAAGTTTTTAGTTCTCGGATGTCATCTCGATTTTTTCGTTCCATGAAAGTCTCAATACTGCGCATAGATTAGTCGTCTGCTGTAGGTAATCAGTTCTGGATCCGCCTCCTAGGCAGAATACCTATTTTAAAGACCTTAATAACTCGTAGCGTATCTTTTATCCAGCAGGAACTGTTTGACAGACAGAAAATGGATTCCACAGAGAACCAACTGACAGAAATGTTAAGAGATTTAAAATCAAGAAGTAAGGCCAAAGTTATGCTAGAATCAGGTTTATACATGCTTATATTGTTGTTCCTGTTTGTTGGAAACTCCTTAACACTCCTGGTAATGTTGTTGTACAGACGGATGCGAAGAATTCCAAACATGTTTGTAGCATCAATCGCCGTTTCAGACTTATTTTTAGGAGTTGTCAGTGCAGTGCCTTTAAGCATCCCAACATTAGTAACTTCTCATTGGCCGTTTAATGATACCACCTGCCAATTTCAAGGTTACATAGCATGTACGTTGGGTAACGCCTCGATCCAAACGTTGGTCTTATTGGCAGTGAACAGATATTATAGAATCGTCAAACCAACCAAGTACCGACGCTACTTCACTAAGAAAAAAGCCCTAATCATGATTCTTGTGTCATGGTTCTATTCTATTTGTGCTCCGTTAATTTATGTGCTAAGTGGGAGCAAAATGGTCTTTCATCCTTCCAAGTTCTTCTGTTATTTTCCAATCGAAAACAGTGCATTTATGGCCTATGGTATTCCACTTTACGTAGGTATTCCAACCTGTGTTATAATCTACTGCTACTTTAGAATCTTCACAACAGTTCGCCACCACAATAGCAATTTTCATCGCCCTGGCAATCCAATAAGCACAGTAAACGTAGAAGAAGTTAAGGTGGCGAGTACCATCTTCGTAATAGTGGTGCTTTTTAGTATGTGTTGGCTGCCAGTTTGTACAATTGACCTTGTGGACGCAGTTTTCCAAAAATGGTTGTTTCCTCGTGAGGTTTACGTGGCATATACATTTCTGGGTACTATAAGCAGCGCTTTGAATCCTTTAATTTACGGCTTGCTCAACAAGAGTTTTCGTAAGCATTACTGGAAGGTGCTGCGGTACAGATGTTGCCGATCTCAAACTGTCGTAGAACCGTTGGCTTGGCGCGGAAGGGTGAACGTTGTGTGTAGGGTACCATTGCCTGATGTACAGATAAATGCGAATTGAAAAAACTGCTTCAAGTCAGTCTCATCCATTTTGTTTACTGTTCCAACTTCGTTACGAAACTAACGTTACTGAGGAAACTACATGAAATTTAATTTAAAAAAGAATACAACTAAATACTACCTGGGTGACAAACAAATATATGCCCGTTTGTGTTTGGAAGAGGAACTTTTGACCGGGACTAGTTGATCCCTTCAACAAAATAATCAAGTCTCTCTGTTCAGCTCGTACTAAGTTTGCGTAGTACTATCTGGATCGCATTCTCCAGAAACCGCTGCCTCTCCTTTTTTTATTGCGGCCAAATTAACGCTGAGACGTAAGTCTTCTGCGATTTCTAGAAAAGCTGCTTTCTCCGTGAAAACGATTCTCTTTCTTAAATCTCGTTTTAAATGAGCTTGAGTTGTTCATTCAATTTAAAACAAGGAGAGCAATATGAAATTACAAGCTACTGGCCTGTGCATAGAACTTTTATGATCAGAGTAAGAGTAGATACTAAAAATATAGTGTGAAAATCATGTCAAGGTGATCCACAGAAGGTCTCAAGCTTCCTCATCGAAAATGATTGGCTAAACTTTTTTCCATAAATTAAATATAAACTGAATCGACCTGGTCCTAACAGACGTCTTGTTTAGTCCCTTGGGGAACAATCAGGTGTCACCAGGTCTCCGTCACAGAGGGGTGTGAAAGACCATGTCATGAAGGAAAATACCTTCGTTCTTAACTCGTGGATGTACGCGAAGCGTGTTCCGCAATGTTCCTCTCTTAAACAAGTAGTGTTGACAAGCATTAAAGTTCACTTCACTTTTTCCTTGGGCTTATCATTTCAACTTTGAACAATTTTGAAATATCACGAGTGATATTTATGCCAAATATCATGTAAAAATCACACTATATTTGTCTTTATGACTAGCCGCAAAGGTTTTGTAAATCTCACTGCGGATCCTTTATCCCTTCATACACTTGTGACATCTCATTGGCCGTTTAACAATGCACCTTGCACCTATCCCGTAGTCATAGTGACCGTTGGGGCACCATGGACCTAGCAACCCTTTCCCTCCATTTGATTTTGTTTTCAGCTTCTCTTAGGGCGTTGCAAAACTTCAACCCTGTCAACTCAGAGATATTATTCTCCCAACTCTTCTTTTGTGGGCCCCTTCTTCTCCCTCCTTGCACTGTTCCTGGTGAAATTGTCTTGGCAAGCGCTGCTGATCTTGATACGTGTCTAAACCACATTAAATTGCATTTATTTACCATGGTTAAGATATCATCATAGGGCCCAATGGCTTGCTTGATTCTGTCTCTGACTGCATCGTTGGTGATGTGGTCTCTGTATGAGATGCCAAACACTTTCCTAAGGCATCTCATCTCAGCGGCCAGCATTTTCTCCAGGATATCCGCTGTCAATGCACAGGTTTCGCAGGCGTACAACAATACTTAAATTATCAAGGGAGCGCGTTAGTTTGATCTTTGAGCTTAGAGATGTATGCTTTTCGTTCCAGATGGTCTTCAATCTCCCTAGTGCCGCTGTTGTCTGTGAAATTCTGGACAGTACTTCAGGCTTGGAACCTTGATCTGTGACGACTGCACCCAGATACTTGAAGCTATCAATCTGGCCAATTTTTAACCGTTCATTCTGATGTCAATGCTGATCCCATTTGCGTAGTTGGTCATCAGTCTGGTCTTCTCTGCACTAATTTCCATGCCAAAGGCTGCAGAAGTCTTATCCAAGCGATCCACCAGGGAGGCTAGTTCCTCCTCTTTTCCTGCCAAGCCATCAATGTCATCAGCAAAACGAAAGTTGGTAATTGTTTTGCCTCCGATGCTGACTGTTCCTTGGTGCTCTTCTAGTGCGTCAGTCATAATTCTCTCCTGAGAGGTGTTGAAAAGATTCGGTCAGAGTAAACCCCTTTGTCTGACTACGACTGTGGTTCTGAACAAGTCTCCTATGCTGCCACTAAGGTACACAGCACTGGTGGCCTTTGTTGTAGACGTTTTCAATGAATTGGATCAGGTTGGCGTTAATGTTATAAAGCCTCATAGTAGACCAAAGGGCTTTATGCCATACTCTGTCAAACCCCTTTTTAAAATTAATAAAGACGTGATAGAGGTGTTGTTGATGATGGAGGTACCTCTCGCACAGTATCCTAAGATTGAATATCTGTTTTGTCGTACTGCGACCTGATCGGAAACCTGCCTGTTCTTCTACGATGATTGATTCTGCCTGAATGTTCAACCTATTTAACGGCACCTTCAGCAGGACTTTACTTGGGTGGCAAATTAGGCTGCTCGTATGGTAGTTCTTGCACTGTTGAAGGTTGCCTTTCTTGGGAAGGGTGTGATAAGAGACTGGGTCCACGGTATGGGCCTCTCTCCTGTCTGCTCTAACCTTACTGTAGATTTTATACAAGGTACTTATCTCGGCATCTCCTTCTGCCTGCACCAGCTTCTTCGCGATATTGTCTATCCTTGGAGATCTTCCCTTCTTGAGCGATTTCATAGCGGCTTCGACCTCTTCCCGCAAGATTGGGTAATTGTCAGTGTCGGTTACTACTGGGACAGTCAGCACCTCAGGGTCACCTGGCTGTACACTTCTGCGTGATTATATTAACGTGGTTCTATTCGATCTGTTGTCAATTGGTGGTTTTTCAAAGTGTCCTTTGTCCATCTTAGAGAGGTTTCCGTCTTATAGAGTCATTAAGCTACGTTAAAATGACTAAAAACGGCAGAGACAAACACCACGTGTTCGGCTTCTATGAGAAGAGTTGAGTGAATGAAATAACATATAAATAACTGACGATAGGTATAGGGAAGAGATACACGGCTGTGGACAACTAACCCGCATCAAATTTAACCTTTCTTGTTAAAACACGGGCCTTACCAGCGGGTGGAAAGTTCTTTGTACGGTATTTACCCACTCCTATCGTATCGGAAATCTCACTTGTTCGCTGTGCTCAGTCGTTCGATTTCTGATACGTCAACAACTCGCGCGTATATACCATACGCGCGCACTTGCCATAAAGTCGGTATTCTATATATATTGAATTGAAGCTAGATGTAACTTTTACTATGTGTAATGAAATGTTATCTGTACTATCCACGAATCTTAAATTTTAAATGTAGTGTGAATTATAAAGGAAATAAAGGGAGATGTAAAGAATCAACCATAAGAGGACACAGAAAAAATCTGAGCCCCAGATGGGATTCGAACCCACGACCCTCCGTGTTCTAGATCGGATGCTCTAACCTCTGAGCTACTGAGGACTCGTTGGCGAGCAAGGGTCATTTTTGTGGGTTGGACTTGCGAACCGCATCTCGCAGTCACACAGTCCATCACAAGCAACACATTAAGGCTTAACTGTATCACACAGTCACATTAATAAGAAATGTCTCACCCATGAATGAGCCTCCAACCAACCAACCTATGCCACTGATATGGGTGAGACATTTCTTATTAATGTGACTGTGTGATACAGTTAAGCCTTAATGTGTTGCTTGTGATGGACTGTGTGACTGCGAGATGCGGTTCGCAAGTCCAACCCACAAAAATGACCCTTGCTCGCCAACGAGTCCTCAGTAGCTCAGAGGTTAGAGCATCCGATCTAGAACACGGAGGGTCGTGGGTTCGAATCCCATCTGGGGCTCAGATTTTTTCTGTGTCCTCTTATGGTTGATCCTTTACATATCCCTTTATTTCCTTTATAATATCAATATCAGTGGCATAGGTTGGTAGTGTGAATTAATTCGTAATTAACGTGTTTCGATGCAGCTTTATCGTCTTCAGTTAAATGCGACTTTTTCCCTGTCCCATTGCCATAAAGTTTTCACCAATAACTAACTATCAAAATGGGTCTTAAAGAAATCGATGTTGCCATAAAAACGAAAAACAAAAAAACTTTGAAATAGATAAAAGACGAATCTTGCGCGATCTAGACCCAGTATTATGGAATATCTGTTACCGGGAAGTTAAAGTGTGGTCAGTTAAGTAAATAACGTACGAAATTAGCATAACGCCAAAACAGTGAATTGCTGGTTTTCAACCACTTGACAACGAGGCTTTGTTGGTTGACAAAACAATACTTTTTTGCAGAATTTCCGCGGAACAAGAGTTAAATTTCCTGCGGAAAGAAACTAATTTGTTTTCTTCTACCAGCATGGCTGAAAAACAGCAATTTAGGATTCCAGCGAAACAAAACTTCTTGCCACTGAAAGCAACACGTTTTACGAAAAAACTGTAAAAGAGGGGGAGGCAGTATATAAGATAGGTCGTTACGTCACGTTACCGTGGTAGCAAAATATCTGGATCTCAACAAACCGTGGTCCTGCAAATATGGCATGGCAGAAAAATAAAAAAGAAAGAAAAAATAATTGACATGTATAACTTTCCAGTGTATGATTGCATTCAGGAACAAAACGTTAGCCTATACTTTTCTTCCAACGTTCGAAAATCAAATGGCCGTCTCTGTCAAGAAAGATTGTTGACATCCACAAATCTTGCTACCATGGTAAACTGACGTTACACTTCTCCTCTCTATTGAGATCCGGTTACGAAAGCCCCACTTTGAATAGAGGCAATTGCGGACACATTTTCAGCCCTCTCGAGACCCTACAGAATGTGATATATTCCTTCTTAAATTCGCATTTTCATTGTGTCTGATGACGTTCAGTTGAAGCGGGTGAACGTTTTTATGATGTTTTGAGTACGGACAGGAAATTATCATTTTATTGCTTTCTTAAATTGTTAGTATTGTTCTGCCTGACTTTTGCAGCAAAATCCATCTCACTTGTCGCAGAAACACCTGCGTTCGTTTATTAAAACAAGGATATAAATACTGGACTCGCGGATCAATTGCAGTTAAAGGCGGTACAATGTTCGATCTCACAGCTCAGTTCTATAAAGCGTTAGTTTCAATCTACAGTGAAAAGTGACCTGGACTGTGCCGCAAGGGCCGGAGCTGTTTTAGAGAACATTGATCCTAGTGGATGGCTTAGAATGCTAACGCAGCTCCGCTTTTAGGTCTGGCTGAATCAGGTAGCTAATCACTTTTTCCTTTACGGTTCAACTTTGTGAATTATAGACTTAGACGAATATGTTTCTACTGTTTGTTCTGCAAAGGTGGTTGTTGTATTGGTAACACTTTTTTCCAGTGGCTGAGATACACTCAATAGTGCTCCTAGTTTGTCTTCCTCTGCAGTCCGCCTGTTGGAACAATAATACCTCAACCCTTTCACCGACCTCGTTTGACTCTTTGAGTGTATTTTTCTATTTACCAGGAAAGGGTTAAACGCTACAGAAAATGGACTCCACAGAGAATCAAATGGCACAAATGTCAAGAGAGTTTAAATCAAGAAGCAAAACCAAGGTCATTCTAGAATCAGGTTTATACGTTCTTATTGTATTGTTCCTGTTTGTTGGAAATTGTCTAACGCTCTTGGTTATGATGTTAAACCGACGGATGAGAACAATTCCAAACATGTTCGTAGCGTCACTCGCTGTTTCCGACTTATTAATAGGAGTTTTCAGTGTAGCTCCATTATCCATTCCAACATTAGTGACTTCCCATTGGCCGTTTAACGACACAACCTGCCAATTTCAAGGTTACCTAGTTGGTATGTTGGCTGGGGCATCGATTCACACATTGGTCTTGATGGCAGTGAACAGATATTACAGAATTGTAAAACCCACAAAGTACCGAGGCTACTTCACCAAGAAGAAAACCCTAATTATTATTCTTGTGTCCTGGTTGTATTCCATTTGTGCTACATTAATTTTTGCGCTAAGTGGAAACAAAATAGTCTTTCTTCCTTCCAAGTTCTTCTGTTTTTTTCCAATCAAAAAAGGGGCATTCGTGGCCTATGGTATTCCGCTTTATATTGGTATTCCAACCTGTGTAATTGTTTACTGCTACTTTAGAATCTTTACAACTGTTCGCAACCACAATTATAGCAATTTTCGTCTTCCTGGAAATCCAATAAGTTCGGTAAACGTAGAAGAAGTTAAGGTGGCTCGCACCTTACTTATAATCGTTGTTTTCTTTAATCTGTGTTGGGTTCCAATCTTAACAATTGACTTTGTGGATACGATTTCCCAAAGGTATAATTTTCCTTCTGAGGTTTATGTGGCATATACGTTTTTGGCCACTATAAGCAGCGCCTTGAATCCTTTAATTTATGGAGTCATGAACAAGAGTTTTCGCAGGAATTATCTGAAAGTGCTACGCTGCAGATACTGCCGATCTCAAGGTGTCGTGGGACCTTTGGCTTTATGCGGAATGACGAATGTTGTGGGGACGTTACCATTGGAAGATCAGAAGGGATAAATGGGAACTGTAGGGGTGGTGTCACGTCAGTCTCTTCTATTTTGTTTACTGTTATAACCTCGCTAAGAAACCGACGCTATTGGGAAAAGAAATATCACAGCTTTGGGACAAACATGTATCATTTATCCATAATATTATATAATATTAAACAACTACAGCTGAATAATTTCAGCTTGATCTTATCTTGGCCGAGTCATTTTTCCAAATGATCGTCATTTTTGTCAGTGATTATGCCAGGCCAGTGCTTTGCGAATTTAACCCTTTTTTGACCGAGAGGGTTTTTAACCCTCCCCCCTCTCGTAAAAGTTCTAAAAATTATCTGGGAACATTTTAAAGTCGTCTTGTCGTGCGCTCCAACATTCACATTACTATAGCAACCTCGCTTTGACAGCCATTTTTTTAAAAATCAAATTGACCAGGTAGTTGAAATCTTGGTCCCCTGTCTGCCATCATTTGTCAATATATCCTCTTTGTCCTAATAAAAATAAATAGCTTTTGCATTCAGCAACAGCCCCACCTTACTTATCTCTACGTTGCGTAGAAGCTGCCTTGCTTGCCTAATTTCATCGAACAGAAGCACAATGCCGTCACTTCTCCTCCTCTATAATTTATGAGTCTTTTCTCGTAATCGAGCATGATGACAAATAGAGATGGTGCCTTAATGTCACCCTGCATGACCGCTGAGAGTATCTGAAAATAGTCCATTTGGCCGTCAAGAGATCGGATGAAACCTTTGCTTTGATGTTGATGTACATTAGAATGGTCGCATTGATGTTTCTCTTAGGAGTGTCATAATGTGGAAAGCATCTTGAACATCGCTTGGTAGTGAATGGAGTCTAATGTATTCTTGAAGTATAGAAATAATGGTAATTGGACTAAGAGGAGTGCAACTCGGTCTGAATTCATACGTGTGATCTTAAAATCGGACAAGTACGCAGTGAGAGTTCGATTTGAAATCAAAAGTATGATTTCAGCCCCAAAGTGCAAGACAGGAAGTTAAATTATCACTTCATTACAGCCATTTAAAATCGCAAAATTCAGTCATTACCATTGTTTTATTGATCTATTAGCCGGTCTGTTGAAAGGGGAAACGAGAACGGTTTTACATCTGATTTTGTTTGCGAAACGGAAATGATGCGATTGAGATCAGAAATGACGCCATTTATTTAGAAAATGAATGATGAGCTTTCGAATAGATCTGATTTAGAGAAAAAGGTGTGATTGATCAACCGTGAAACAATCATATTGCTTAGTGCCAATAAGATCGCAAGAATCACCATAATGGTGAATCACCAGAATGGCGAACACCAAACAATTGCCAAAATGAATGTAATATAGAGCAAAATTGAGTGTAATTCGTGAATGAATCTTTCTGATGAGGGCGAATAAGATTTCAGGAATCAGCAGTGATTTCAGCACTGGATGTAACAAATTCAGAAATCGATGTTTGATAATTTTTCTTGTGTGATGATTGATGGAGCCGTACGCGTGCGAAAGCCATTCTTATTGTATCACAGATATGGATCTCTCTCTGGATATATACGATTTAGTAACATTGTGTTAGCAACTGGTGATGTTAAGCTAATTAATGCGTATTGTAGTTTACGGTGTAGACTGAGTTGCCCGATTTGAGAATTGGTTTTAAGTTGCGAATGGTAACATTTCGGAACGCATACAAAGAGAATGTAAATCACAGAAGTACGTCTCATCCAGAAACCTTTAATTCATTCATATTGCTATAATAAGAGTGCATACTAGCGACAGGCAGGGAACCTTATAAAGCATTGTACTTCATTCACTGCGAACAATTTTTAAGGACTTGCAGTTTATTAAAATTCTGAATTGCTGAACGTTTTTGAGGAAGTTGTTAGATATCGTTGAAAATTAATAGGACATCGGGATTCAGCAAAAGAAAAGTTATGTTGCGACGAGAAACAATACCTAGTCTTTTAAAACGCCATAAAGCCGGGTGAAAGACAACAGAGATCCAAAGGCCTCCCTCTTTTAAAAGAGACATGATTGACACCATCTTTACCTATGATGTATGACACTATTCAGCCCGCTCGAGACCCTAATGAGCTCGACACATCCTTTCTTTAAAATGTAGCTGATGACGTTCAGTTAAGGAAAATGAAATATTCCCCTTTTGAACTTTGAATAGTGTTCGCAGTGCAGGAAATAGTATCTTATTACTTCCTTAAATTGTCGGTATTTGTTTTGCCTGGCGTTTGTGGCACAATCCATCTCCCTTGTCACAGAATCACCTGCCCCTCGTTGACTAAACTCATCAAATACTGTGCTCGCGGATCGAATATAGCTAAAGGCAGTCGACAAAAGTTGATCTTCGAGTGCAGTTTTAGAACAAAGTAGTTTTAATCAACTATGGTCAGGCAGCTTCAGTGAAGACTGAAGTGGATTCTGCCACAAGTGAGCTGTTTAATTATTTTAAGAATTCTTATTCCACTTTGTGTCTTGTTTTCCCATATATCAATTATTGTTCTAAAATATTCATGGAGTAATATTTGAACGGAATAATTTCCTGACATAACACACGTAAATTAGTCGTATTATTATGTGTGTCTATAGACACGATCAGGACCATTTAGTATAAATCGAACGAGACATCGAAGTTTATTTTATAAATCAGATCTCCTTGTAAAGTTTTCTTTTCAAGGGTCAGTCTCAATTGTGCACCGAATTTGGACGTCCGCTGTAATCCACTCCTTAACCTTGTTTTAAACCTTTGCGTATATTTTATCTAGCAGGAACTGAAAATGGATTCCATAGGGAAACAACTGGCGGAAATGTTGAGCAAGTTTAATTCAAGAAGCAAAGCTAAAGTTATCCTGGAATCAGCTTTATACGTGCTTATTGTATTGTTTCTGTTTGTTGGAAACTCTCTAACGCTCCTGGTTATGTTGTTAAACCGACGGATGAGAACAATTCCAAACATGTTCGTAGCGTCACTCGCCGTTTCGGACTTATTTATAGGAGTTTTCAGTGCAGGTCCTTTAGCCATTCCAACATTAGTGACTTCTCATTGGCCATTTAACGATACAACCTGCCAATTTCAAGGTTACTTAGCCAGTGCGTTGTGTTTCGCTTCGATTCACACATTGGTCTTAATGGCAGTGAACAGATATCATAGAATCGTCAAACCGACAAAGTACCGCCACTACTTCACCAAGAAGA